AGACAAATGTTTTTTGGAAACATCTTAGATGAAGATTGAATCTCTTTTACAGTGCCTGACTATTAGCTATAAAGAAATAGGGAATCTGAAGAAAAAACTTCAAGTAATTCTGAAGCCAGGCACTTAGATCTTAGGCAGCCAGCAAGGCAGCAATTTGTAATCCACAAGGCACAAGTCAACAACTTGTAATACAATTAGCGTTGAAACTGGTTATTGACAAATTGTAATCAAAATTCATCAAACATAGAACAAGAATAGTAGAACCTCAAAATCTATTACCCGTCTGTCGTCTGCAATTGCAAAAGGCTTCACATATTTAGTACAAAGTAGATGAATACAGAAGAATCAATCCACAAGTCAAAGTGTTTGAGGCGTCAATACTACAATAGAAGAGGAGAATTTGAGAGATGAGTCGGAAGAGATAATTGAATATCGGAGTACAAATCAGAACTATATAAAAGAAGGGATTAAGAGAATATTACCGGTGGTGTTAAACTTTTCGGATTATCGAGATGCTAATTGATTTCTCTCAATTCCCGATTATGCGAGATGAAAAGACTGGAGATGCGAAATCGGTTGGCCTTCCCTACTTCTCACCGTCGGCCAAAATCGCAGAAGTGCAAAACCCTCGCTCCGCATTCAATTAATGACTAATGAGACGGACTAAAGTCTAAAGGACTATAGAGACCTCTCTATACCTGCCGACCTAGAGCTGGAGTAATTATTTATTAAATTATTAATATTAATATATATATATATATATATATATATATATATATATAATATAACATATAAAATAATGGGCCCCATACTAAAGATGGGCCCTGGGCATGTGCCCCCCTGCCCCCCTTCCAGAACCGGCCATGCGCGGTCTGGCCCGGGTCATACGTGGTTCGGGTCCAAAACGGACCGGTTCCTGTTTTTGTTGCCAGAAAATGGTCCGGGTAGGATAAGAGAATAAAGTGAAATTGAGGGGTAATATGAGGATAAAATTTTAGAAGCATCATAAGTGTCGTTAATCCAATGGTGTTACTTAGAATAGTTTGGACTTTGGACAGAGTTTTCTGAATTTCAAATGTGGTCATTTCTTTTAGTTTTTTTGGAACTTTGTAAGTTGTTACTATTTTTAAGACATACAAATAGGAACCGAAAACCCCGAACCGGACTGACCCTTTTGAAACGGGTCGGGTAAGGTCTGGTTCCTATTTTCAAAATTGCAATACCCAGACCGGACTGGCCCGTACAATGGAACCGGCGGCTCCATTTTATTTGGCGTTGTCCGACCCGGCCCGTGCCCGGCCCTAGCCTGAATGATGCTTATATCTATCTTTGTTTCAAGATGTTTTTCGTGTAGTTGCCTACTTGCCTAAATGATGCCCATAACTATTTTTCGAATGTCTATAGCTCTCATTTTAGGATAGAGAGAACGTCACACTAACTTACTATTAAAAAGGAATTGCAATATAACGGCCATTAAATAAATAAAATAACCCTCCAAAAATTAACAGCCGGGATTCATGAATTTTATCAAACTTAAAAGTAACAAAAGATTTACTCCAAGGTTGTTCCTGTGAGCATATCTCTTTACATGTGATCCGTTCTCTCATCTTTGCATGTGAAGAAAGAAACGCTTAGCATGTCACAAAATGTGAGAAGTCCTTGATAATTTATCAAAAAATAAAACTATGCTATAAGTCCTAGTGTCTTCGTGCACTTGACAAATAACTCATAATCAACGTTCCAAATTAATTATGAAAGAGATCTCAAATAGTTTTGTAAAAGATTTTTAACTGTTTTTTAGAAGAGACCCCAAATTTTGTAAAGACGTTTTCATATATGTTGTCAAAAAGATCCCATATAACTTTTTCAAAAATATGATATTGCCGTGACAAATGGTGGGTTGTATTAAATAGTGATTATTAGGAGTGGACTCGGGCCGGGCCAACCGGCCCGGACCCAGACCGGCCCGCTACTGTGCGGGCCCGGACCGGACCGGTGAACCGGTTGGTTCCCGGTTCGGGCCACCCGGCCCGGTGAGGTAGGCAGTTCGGGCCCAGGCCTCCTAAATCGTGAACTGGCCCGGCCGGTTCAGGCCCGGTCCGGGCCAATTTATTATTTTTTCTTTTTTTTTTTTTAATTTTTTTTAAGTTTTTGGGTTGGGCTGGATATGATGGGCCATTTGAGGTGGTTTGGGGTGAGGGGGGGGGGGGTTGGGGGTTAATTAGGAAAAGCCAAAAAAATACAAGAACCGAGGCCCGGCCCGGCCCGGCCTGGACCGGACCCGGGGTTACCCGGGCCGGTTCCGGGCCTCCCCTTTCATGAACCGAGGCCCGGACGGGCCCAGGCCCGAACCGGGCCCAAACCAGAACTAGGGGTGGATTCGGTTCGGGCAACCCAGTCCGTGACCCGGCCCGGCCCGCTACTGTGCGGGCCCGGGACCGGCCCGGTCTGGCGGTCCGGGACCGGGTGTAGACCCGAACCGGTGGGGATGGGCGGGGCGGGCTCGGTTCCGAAAAAAGTTGACCCGGCCTGGCGGGGTCGGGCCCGGGTCCGGGTCCAACGGTCATTTTTTAATTTTTTTTTTGTTTTGGCCAAAATAGCCGTCGGGGGGTGGGTTGGGGACAACCCAAACGGCTATATAGCCGTTGGGTGGGGTGCAGGGGGGTCCGGGGGGTTTGGGGGTGGGGTGGGGTAAAAAAACCTATAAATATCTCTTCTCCAATTCTTCCTAAATCCTATTCTTAATTCTCTACTCTCTAATTCTCTTATTCTCCAATATATTATATTTATTATTTATATATCTACTTTATATTAATTATCTACTTATAATTTATAAATACATACATTATAATATTATATTACTTATATTTGTTATCTAATTATATATTACTTATACATTTATTATATCTATTAATATAGTTGGAATTATATCTAATTAATTTGAAGTCATTCTATTACTCCCATCCGAAAGACCGAAAGTCCGAAAGAGGTACGAAATTATTCTATTATTTACACTTGTTTAATTTTGTATTAACGTTACTTGAAAAAAAACTAGTTAATTCTCATAATAGTTAAAGTTAAACTATAATAATTTGATTGTTAGTAAAAAAAAGGTTGTACAAAAAACTAGTATATTAATTTCATTGTTAGTAAAAAAAATTAGGTTGTACACAAAACTAGTTAATTCACTAGTTAATTTGATTAAAGTAAACTTTAAAATACTAATTTGCTATAACTCGAATTAATAGTTAGATTAATAGTTAATTACTTTATTACAATTTTTTATTAATTGCTACATTTGCCTCTAGTTTAAAAAACTAGTTAATTCTCATTATAGTTAAAGTTAAAGTATATTAATTTCATTGTTAGTAAAAAAAATAGGTTGTACACAAAACTAGTTAATTCACTAGTTAATTTGATTAAAGTAAACTTTAAAATACTAATTTGCTATAGCTCGAATTAATAGTTAGATTAATAGTTAATTACTTTATTACAATTTTTTATTAATTGCTACATTTGACTCTAGTTTAAAAAACTAGTTAATTCTCATTATAGTTAAAGTTAAAGTATATTAATTTCATTGTTAGTAAAAAAAATAGGTTGTACACAAAACTAGTTATATCACTAGTTAATTTGATTAAAGTAAACTTTAAAATACTAATTTGCTATAACTCGAATTAATAGTTAGATTAATAGTTAATTACTTTATTACAATTTTTTATTAATTGTTACATTTGACTCTAGTTTAAAAAACTAGTTAATTCTCATTATAGTTAAAGTTAAAGTATATTAATTTCATTGTAAAGTCAAAATAAAACATACAAAAAAATAATTGAAATCAAAATTCAAAAGCCCCAAACGGCTCTATTGAAATTTGAATCAATAGAGGCATAGAGCCGTTGGAGGTGGGGGTGGGGGTACAAAAAATTCTATAAATACTCTTATTTTCTAACATTTTTATACACATCTTCTCAAATCTCTAATCTTCATTCTCCAATCTCCATCTTCATCTCCATCTATTGTAGGATTATTATATCTACCATTTTTAACTTTTTAAGATAGAAAGTCAAGATGCCGTTATACGGTAAAATTTTGATAAGCAGAACGACCCGAAGACCGGGATGTGGTACGCAACTTGCAAATGGTGCGGGGGAAAATGTAGCATGAGGATTTCAGGCGGATACGAGATGACAATGAAGCATATTAAGTCATGTGACAAAGCAAAAGGATCGGGAGGTGCGGGAAGTTCCGATTGATTACAATTTACAAAATGTTTGTCTCTTGAAGTTTGTTTTAATTTTCAAATGTAGTTCCTATTTCATTTCAAATAAATGCACTTGAAGTTTGTTTTTAATACTTATATAAAACTATAAAGTATAAAATATAAATTATAAAAAAAATTACTTTAACCGGCCCAGCCTGACCCGTCGGGTGGCCCGACCCGTGACCCAGGCGAGTGGCCCGGCCCGAACCGGACCCGTCCAACCCTCAGGCCGGTCCCGGGTCCATGTGATACAAACCGGCGGCCCGACCGGACCTAGGCCCGGGCCTGACCCGACCTGAGTCCATGCCTAACCGAAACCGGTCCACCCCTAGTGATTATATGAGAATTTATAGCAGCTAATTTATCAACCATGATTTTAATTTCCCTCAAGTAATGAGCATGCATTTAATAAGTTGAAATTATTTTGAGTTATGATGAATAGACTGCTAATAATTGGGATTATTATGATTATTATCAATTTTCCTTTAATATAAGCATTCTTCTTTCAAAAAACTCTATCATTTTCCCAATCTTTGGCTTAATCAGTTTTCTCCTAAAATACGGAGTATTATTTAAATTTATATTATTTAATCAATATATTAATAAATAAATAATTATAAATAACTTAAAGGAACTAATATGCCCTTAGATTGTTATTATAAAACACTATCAAACACAAAGTGACAAAACCACACTATCTAAACAATGTATTGCGTTTTAGAGCCCATTTGGTAACATTGAAATTGACTGAATTAGATGAGTTTGGTGAAATTGATGATGTTTTGAATGAAGCAACTAAATTATGGAAAAACTAATTCCAAACTAATCAAACTAGAACAGACCCTAGTTAAATAGACCATACCAAATTTGAACAGACCAAAGTCCCATACCAGACTTTGACAGTTACAAAATACATACAAACCATACTTTTACCGAACCAGACTAGTTCAAATAAAACTAGATCACACTTAAACAGACCGAACTAAACCAAAAAAAATTCAGTCCAATTAAAAACACCTTTATTCTACCAAATGATAGACTACAATAATAATTTCTTAAAATTTTAGTAACAAAGGTTGTACATTACATACTAAAATCAGAACCATCCACGATAGTATAAATTGTATTCAAGACTTCTTGAGTATTGTGCCCACCCTGGTCGGTTTATTCTGATTAGTTCTGATGGTTTTAAACCTTTACATGCTCTATCACCTGCTATGGCTCAAAGCTCTGACCTTCAAGCCCAGCCAAAAATGCCATTATGGTACTCCGTCGCAACCCCAATACACGATAGGGGTATTGGGGTAGAAGTGTTCATATGATAGGAAGGGACATACGCTTTGGCTGCAGGTTACGAAATACACAAACTTTAGGCACTTAGAACTTCAATACTTGTACGAGAAAAGAAGGAAACAATAGGACTAAAATTAGTGATATACGTGTATGATTGATTTCAAATACGCAATGACTATAGTGAGGTGGTTTTTGCAGTGACATGGCATTATTGCACTTGTGGAATATACTCACATTTTTGTAATGAGTGCTATTCTAGTAATACTATACGTGGTCGAAATTTGTAACACCAGAATAAAAAAGAGATTGGTCAATAAAAGCAGAATGAGATGGCTTTTGAGTGATCCTGCTGGTGAATTAAAAGCAGAATGAACATTTCTTCAGTATATAAATGGACTTACATATTTTCGTTGAGATTCTTCGAGAAACTTCTGAGGGAAATCGAGGTATTCTTCACATTCTCTCTTCAGTCTTTCTTCAAGTTTCGTGTCTTTAAGGTTCCTTAACATGATTTGCAAGGCCAGCTTATCTGGTACACAACCTGATTCCTTCAACAATTCATACGTCTCTATTCCTTTTTCAACCATACCCACCTTAAAGTACGCTCCCATTACCTCAGTATACGTTCGGGTGTTAGGTTTTAAGCCCTCTTTCTTCAGTTCGTGAAACAACAATTCAACCATTTCAATCAGTTTGTTCTTTCCCAACAACAACAACATGTCATTGTACATGGAAAGATCTGGTACATACCAAACTTCTTTCCTCGCATGATTGAAAACCTACAACCCCTAAAAGGCCATTTCAGATGCAATAAAAATATACGTGAAGATACTTTAAGAGAAATCAGTAGAACGAGAGTAATAGAAAAACAGATAACTGCTATTACAGGTTTCATAAAAAATCATACCCAAAAAGAAATATGGAGTACGAATTTCAAGGACAAAACCACCTTAAATTTTGAGCCAAATACAACATTTGACAGTCAAATATAAAATTAGAGACGAATTTATATGCACCGTTTTCACCAACATAAAGACAAACAAAGAAGATTTTAGGTCCCATTTCGTATGGATTATATGGCTTATTTTGTTCAAACTACTTATTCTAATTATTCTGCTTATTATTTTGATAAGAAAAGTAACCCGAGTAATGGTACCAAACGGGCCAATAGTCTCACCACAAAAGGTCCAAAAATACAAATACCTACACCAAACTAGTGGTTCAAACTACACCTTTTATCACTAATTGGATTGGATAAAACATCCTATCGTATGACACCATCATCCACCTTAATCCCAAGTAGTTGGGATAGGTAGCATAAAATTAGGAAGTGCCAACTAATTGTATGATTTGTATCAAATTAACTAAAACTATAAAATCATGCAAAAGAGTGGCTATATATGACGCCAGATGGCCTACCAGTCACTAGAAAATGTTTAAACTACCCATTGGAACAAACATTCATGTTTGGACTATTGGTAACATCTCACCTTAATCAATTACCACCTTCAAAAGGTGGACTATAGGCAAAATTCATGTTTACTGATGTTAAAAGTTCATCTGTCCCTTTAAGCATTTGAACCATAGCATAAAATCATGACAATACTACATGGGTTCCACTTAAATAGGACATGTTGCTCCAATGGCGGCATATACATCACCCATAAATGTGATTATCAATAGTTTTAGGCTAAAATTTTAAGCCTCGACAAACATAGCACTGTCTAACATATCGAAGAAAGTACACATAACAGACATTTCCACAGTGCATACCAGATTAAATACTGCCTATTTCCCATTTTAAGTGGTACCCAAGTCTTTTTCATTCACTTAGCCACAAACGTTTATCATTTTCAATGTCCATTTAGAGCTTTATTTGAACTTTTACAGTTTTACATACATAAATGCCAATCTATGAAGCACGAAAACTCTCCATGACTCACGTTTCCCGGTTTCGGAAACTGGAGCATTTCAGAAACTTGGAAACTTCTAATTACCGTTTTGGGGCCGTTTTTGTAATTAAGAAGAATTGGGAAACCCGATTCCCTACGCTTTGGAAACCTTGGGGTTCTGTATGTTTCTTATTTAAAAGATTCTGTGAAGGAAAATAGTGTCTTTTTTAATAATAAAAAATAGTGAATTTTTGTGGTATTTCTCCGCAGCAACATTGTTACATTTCGTAACGCAATGTATTGCTAGAAGTGTATTACATTTTTATGTTGAATTGTGTACTACGAAGTAAGATGAAATGATTTCTAAATTTGAACATGTAGAATGGTTTTATTATTGGGTAATTAAACAAGTTATGTGAAAAACTCATGTGCATATATAAACGAAAAACTTGTGGACATATATGGAAAAAATGTTTATAAATACATCCTTATATTTTTTAATATTTACACGTTTCCCACACGTTTCGTATCCTATATTTTTTAGAAATTATGTTTCTCGTGTTTCCCATTTCAAGTTTCGCGTTTCCGTGCTACTTAGAATCTTAGATGCCAATGACTGAAGCTAAATTAAATATCACTCTGCAATAAAAAAATATTGAATTGTAAATAACTTCAGTCAAAAGCCTAATCCCATAGCAATATGTCCCCCATAGTTAAGGAGTGTTATTTAATTTAGGTGCCTTAACATAATAATACCTTGACAGCTAAATCCACTTCATTTTGCCTCTGCAGCTCGGTCAAGGCATCCAATAAATCACGTTTCAATAGCCTGCTGACTTGGTCCTTGAAAATTTGTTCCAACTTATTAGGTGTTGCTGCTGCTAATTTTATGGAATGGACTGCTTGAATTGCCTCCGTTGACAAAACCCGTGACCTCCACAAAGGCTTTCTCGGCCTATTTCTCAATCCACAAACTACTTTTACAGAAGAAGCTGGAGAAATGCTGAAGTGTTTGGTGTGAATTTTGGGAAATTCATATTTTGGGTACAAACCCAGTTGAGGAAGCTGAGGTCGAAAAATACACATTACACCTAGCTGTAAAAAATGGTGGTCTTAAGTGGCGATCAATAGCGATTATCCTAGAAAGATATAAAAGATACTGTATTAGACAGAGCCAACTCTTAATGTAAGAGAGTCAATCTTGAAAATAAAAAATAAAGCAAGGAATTACTTCACATATTCAATATGAGTTTAAAATGTATTTTAAACCTTAGATAGACTCAAATGGATATGAATCACTTATGTAAAGCTTTTGAAATGTATCCTACTAAATACTTATGTAAAGGATGGAGATGTGGAAATAGTTATCACTCTCACTCCATAAGACCATAACTTGAACAAAAAATGATCACCTTTTTTACACCATCAATCCAGCATTTCAGTACTACTCTTTAAGAAGTAAACTATGTCCATTCCATTCAATCCAGTGGAGTTTGACAAGTTCTTTCCGGAAGAGAAAAACAATAAGAACAGCAAATTATTAATTGAATCTGGGAATTTTTCTATTGTGAACAAAATCTGGAATTTATTTTTTTTAATTTAGGTTTACCTATCTGAGTAGTGAGTCGTCGGAAAGACAGAAAACGGGGTTGAAGGCGCGCAGGTGAGGCGGACGGCAGGGCATCGCGCTGCGCACAGTAGCCGGTGGCGGCTCACGGGCTCGCAGAGTGCAGCATGACTGTTGACGAACGCGCGATTTTGCTGCTATGAGAAGATATGGCTAATGCTGGTGTTAGTTTTTCCATTTGGGCCTAATGGACTGCCTCGGTACTACCCTGGGAACTTCTATTCACACCCACAGGATAATTAAATGCGGCCTCATCATCAAATATTAATAAATAAAATTACTTTAAACATTTAATTTACCCTTATAATTATGGTGGACATGTCAGTTTTTGGTTTGGTTTCATTTGGAACAAATTGGAAGGATTATTACCAAATAAAAATACTATTTTCAGTTTGGTTATAAAGGTCAGTTTAGTTCGATTTGGATTTGTTATTTTTTAATAATATATGAATGTTTTATTGAATTTCTTTAGTTCGGTTTAGTTTTACTTGGTTTTTATTGATTTTGGTTTAATACGATTTGAAAGATATGCAACCAAACTAAAACCAATTGCATATCTTCCGGTTCAGCTCCTATATCATACACCTGGGTGTATTAGTGTATATGTACACCCGTTTTTTTGCAATTAATAGCAAGTTTGATGATAATTGATAAGTTGAGATGCTGAAGTGCTTCCTTTTCCCACCAGGCACTCACGTTTATTCTTACTTCCTAGGTTCTCCATTTTCTTTTCTTTTGTTTATTCTTCTTCTTTATTGTTTGCATTCCTTCCGTTTTTTCTTCTCGTTTTTTCTTTTGTCTTTTTTATTTTGATTTTTTCTTTTTCCTTTTCTTTTTGATTTTGAACTTTAATTTTGATTTTTTGCTTCCTTTTTTCATTTTTCTTTTTACATAGACTTTATGTCTTCTGTTGCTCTAACTTTGAACTCCTACTTAATTAAATTGGTTGGTCTAAAATAAGGAATTAGTTCTTTTTTATAATCTACATGTATGAGCTTACTGAATACCAATGTTCTAAAAGGCGCTAGCCCAGCGCCTAGACGGGAACTAATCGGAGACATAAAAATTGCATCTTTATATATATATTTGCATAAATATGATAAGTAATATTGTATTTTTGTGTGTAAATATATATATACATATACATTAACATACATTAATGACAGAAGTATCATATTTAATCATATGTACGGAGTATATGATAACTAATCAGTTAACTTCATTATGTTATAAATATAAATAATGATAAAATTTGGGTATATGTACAAACATATATAGGTTTATCTTAATTTACAACTTCATTTATTTATATCCATGGGCTAAAGTTAAAGTACGTATAGCGCTTAGAAATTTAAAATTAAAAAGTAAAGTAATGTTCGGCGAATCTAGACGACCTAGGCACGCGACGATTAGGCGCTCTAGAAGGGCAACTAGGCGCCATAGGCGGCCGACTAATTCACCTAGACAGCTAACCAATTAGTCGGAGCGCTTAATTCACTTATGAGGTACTAAATTAGTAATGAAGTATTTCGTGTTATATTTAGAACTTGTTTAGTGAATACGTATATCGTACACCCGAGTGTACGGGTGAGAACCGTACATCCGGGCTTTTTTAAGCTTCAGTCCATTTTAATAACCCAGTTTGAATAGAATTAAATGAAGCCCACGGAAGGCCCATAAAAAGGCCCATAAAAGACCCAATAACCCAGTTTGAATAAAATAGCTTCGTTTTTTCGCTACATTTTTCTACCCGAAACCCAACACGACCGGTATATCATGCACATGGTATACCGGTCCTAATACAGTGCCATTTTTATCTTCCCAAGCTCCCAGTAGTCCAATATTATCGAAGCTTTCTTTCTTTTTCCTCCAGGTTAGTATTTTTTTCTCTTTATTTTTCTTTTCTATTTCTTCAATTCTTTTCTCTTTTACATCAAAATACTAAAAATTTATTTGTGATTTTACTTATCTTTATCTTTAACTAATTAAAATGCAATTGAATTTACATTTTCTTCTTCACCAAATTATTACAAAATTTTATTAATTCACAGAAAACAATTATGTTGTATTTTATAATCATACAATTTTTCTACTTTTTTTATCTCCAACTAAAATTACAATAGAATATGTTTTTTCGGTAATTGTTTTTATATTTCATATTCATAAATTTTTTTCAATAATATATTTCTTGTCTCTTTGCAAAAAAAAATATACTATCGTATTTCTTATCTCCTTGATATGTTTTTAGTGTTCTTAAGACATTATATTTGTCTATTTCGATTTCAATTTTATAAAACATGAAATCATATTACATTTTTCATGTGTTTATAGACAATTTCTAGAATTATATTTGATATTACATGGAGTTATATCTTCTTATGGGCGAGTTACATCATTTTATAGACCACTAAAATGTTGAATTATTAATATCCATTTTCTCCATCATAATAGTGATATTTATCATCCCGCTAAATATGATTAAAAGAAATAAAAAAATTGAGTTTTCTCCATCATAATAAGAAATACAAAGAATCCAAGTTTTTATCTCCGGTACATCTATCTGGTGGCTCCATGAAACATCAAAATTGATATTACTCAGTCGATGCCAAGTTTCTAGTTGGGAAAACCTTCTCTGTCCATTATTATTACTATTGGTATTATGAATAATATTATTATGCTATTAGCTACTATAATTAATCACGTATATTTGATTAACATTCTAATCGAATATGCTTATATTTTTATTTGTATTTGATAACCATTCGGATCAAATTTAATAATCTTATTTATATTTTTTCAAATTCAAATCCCAAGAGTAAAATTATTTGATTTGTACATAAATATATGGGCTTAAATTTGTTAGTCAGTGAACCATGCTTACGGAAATGCCAGGCCTATTCTACCCATCCATCGGCGTTTTTGGTCTAATCAGCTTTTGGTCAGTTCCTGACCTATAACCCCCAACATTAGTTTTATTTACAATTTATATCCTAGAATGATAATGGATAATGGATTAATTGCAATTTTGCTTTCATTTAGTCCTATTTAGTAAAATCTCTCATTATAAATCCGCGACTTGAAATATAAAATTTGTCGATATATAATCCAAATAATTGAAAACTACTCCCTCCGTTCCATTAGCAGGGTTTCAATTATGGTTTACGATGCTTGACAGATGATAAAGCAATTTAATCTTTGTTCACACTCTGATTATTGTTAGTAAATAAAATTTACATATTCAGAAACTACATTAAAACCGCAATAAAGCCTGATAAAAAATGTAGGAGAAAGGGGCAAATAAGTCCACGTACTAACCAAAAAAGGTCAAATAAGCCCTTATATTGGAGGCTCTGTCCGGCCGTCGCCATTTGGGGTAATTCCCGGTGGAATTTTTTGATGAAAGTTTTTGAGAATCTTATTCATTAAATCTAGTTACTCATACCAAATTTTAGCTAACAATTCAATTGGGAAGACATTCAAATAAATTCTTTAAGATAACTGCGTGGTTATCTTCAAGAATTCATTTGAATGTCTTCCCGATTGAAGTTTAAGCTGAAATTTGGTATGAGTAAATTAGACTTAATGAGTAAGATTTTCAAAAAAAAAATCAAAAAATTACATCGGGAACTACCCTAAATGGCGACGGCCGGGCATAGCCTCCTATATAAGAGCTTATTTGACCTTTTTTGGTTAAGAATGCTTTAAGTTGACCATGTAAATAGTGAACGAGAACCTTTAAATGAGACGAAGAGAGTATGCAATTATCTTTATACATACATGATCAACTCTACCAATTCCGGGTATGTACACAAAAAGTATGTACACTTTTTTTATACACTTTTTATATAGAAATAGATTTTTTCTAAAAGTTAATGGTTTCACTTCCTATTTTGGTACGCACTTTATCTTTAATTACATAAATAAATTAAAGGAGACATGAACTTAAATCATAAAGATCAATTCATGAGTAGCTCCAAAACAAAAACAAAAACAAAAAATTGGATAGCGTATGAAGCACGTACGGAGTATTTTGATTTGGTCTAATTCAAATAAAAAAAAGTAGATTCTATGTACCCATAAGGTACCATACCTTTGTCCACATGGACTAATAAGAATGATGTAGTTGAATTATTTAAATCTAAATAAAAAATGATGTAATGATTTGAACCAATCAAGTGAATGTAGGTATGGTACCCCATTTTTTAAATGGGTACCGGAGTTCCCACCTAAAAAAAATTGATTGCATGGCAAGAAGCCAAGAACCACCGTGGTTAATTTTGTTTCCAAATATCCACTTGTCTCAAGTCACTCAACAACTCAACCAGGCCAATCCTACTCAAACTTTGAAAAAAATATACGGAGTACTACGTATATCTATATATATACACATATGTAGCACTCTAATATTCATGAGTTCAATTCATATCTTATTTCTCTCACCAAATATAGCCGAAATTTCCCCAAGCCTCCCAAACCCTAATTCATCGATTATTTCTTCCATCAATTATGGAAGGTCTAGTCTGTGAAAACTTAGTCTGTGAAAACTTAGACTGGAAGCGAAACTTACCCATTGGATATAGGTTTCGTCCTACTGAGAAAATACTTCTCAAGGATTACCTTCTACCCAGGGACGGATCCAGGATTTCGAGTCAAGGAGGGCGAAACTTTTCGTTAATGTAGGAGTTAAAAAAATTCATTAGTGTAACGGGGCGAATTTTTTTCCCTAGTGTAGCGGAGCGAAATTTTTCACTAGTGTAAGGCTCTGCGGCTATTTTTATTCAAAAAAAAAATCATTAATACATACATGACGACATTTAAATCTATATATTACATTCTAAGTTTAGACAATGACAAAATAACTTTAATTTTATAATTGGAGTGCTCTAGAAAAAAGTATTGATACATTAAAGCATAAGAAATGACAAATCAATGGAAAATAATACAAAAATAAAAAAAGGATATATAACATTTTATTTAAATATAAAGAGTTTATAAGGTACACATTCACCAGTACTTTTAAAATAACTTCAATATTGTTTAACTACATAAGTCTTACAGAAATAAAGAATTGATTTTTGAATTACAATTTTTGTCTACCATGAAGGGTGTTCATAAGTCACAAGAAGTTCTTTTAATATTACAATAGTATGTATGATATTATTATTTTTAGAATAATATTATATTGCTAATTCATAT